CAAGAGACAAGCAACTACTTCCATAAACTGTTTCATTAACAATGCAGCAAAAAGTATAACAAAATGTTGTTAGTTAGCTCTTTAAATATTTTCAGATCGACATTAAGACTAGCTTTACAAAATATTGAATTAGTATTACATTATTTATAAGCTGGATTCATACATCAATATACCCTGTACCCGTAGGGTAAAAAGGGTATATTAGGTTTGTGCAAAGTAAGTAACATGCAGAAGGAAGCATCTCCGACCCCATAAAGTATACATATTCTGAATCAGCATGATGAGAGAAATCGATCTAGACATGTCCGTCCATCCGTCCGTCTGTCCGTCCGTCTGTCCGTCTGGATGAACGCAAGGATCTCAGAAACTATAAAAGCTAGAATAACCAAAGTTGGCATCCAGATTCTCCTAGGTCCGTGAAAGGACGAGTTTATTTTATTAATTTAATTTAATTTCCCCCCCCCCCCCCCCCCCCCCCCCCCCCCCTTCCCCCGCTACAGAATTTCGTCAATAGCGTCCACATTTCAAATGCTACATTAACCAAACTTTGCACACATCATATATATATATATAATTATCTACTGTAGTTTACAATTTTATTTAATTCGGTCAATTCTAGGAAAAGTTATTAGCGAAACAAATTATCTCCAGTACAACCCCCCCCAAACTGCAGCAATAAGTTCGCTCTTCTTCTTCCGCTTTTTGCTTCTGCTATGGGCGCATATACCTCAGTCTCGGAAGTTTACCTGGGTACAGGGTATTACACTGTCGGGCTTGCTCGACTGTAGCGTTCTCTCTGGTTTTTGTTTCTTTTTGTAAATATGGGTCATAATTGTTCTTTTTTGTACAAAACTAATATTTCCAATTAGCACTTACCTACTGATTGAGCAAATTATTGAAAATATAACAAAGTTGTTCCAGTTTGCTTGTCACAAATCGCAGTAACCAGAAATACTGGTCGAAGCGGGAAATGACATATTTATACCCTGTACCCCAAGGGTACAAGGGTATATTAGTTTTGTGCGAGTGCACATGGAACACACAGAAGGAGGCTTGGTAGACCCCACAAAGTATATATATTCTTGATCAGCATGACAAGCCGAGTCGATATAGCCATGTCCGTCTGTCCGTCTGTCCGTCTGACCGTCTGTCCGTCTGTCCGTCTGTCTGTCTGTCTGTCTGTATGAACGCAAGGATCTCCGAAAGTATAAGAGCTAGAATAACCAAACTTGGTATACAGATTCTCCTGAGACCGAGAAAGGACGAGTTTGTTCATTTTTTCTGATCCAACCCCCCACTCCCCCCCTATTAACAATTTTCTATAACTCCCGTAATTCTTGGAATTTTGAACTATTTTTGAATTTGGTAGTCACATTAGGTTAGTAATTATGTATCCGTATACCAAGTTTCATTATGATAGAATAATCGGAAAGAAAGTTATAGCCATATAACCAGGCCCAATGCACACATACATACATATGTGCAAGTACACAAACACGCATAAGGCACGATTCTGATGGAAATGTAAATGTATGTATGCATGCATGGAATATTTTATATTTAATTAGTTAATATTTAGTTAATTAATTAAATTAATTTAGTTAATTAATTTAATTTAATTAATTAATTTAATTACTTTTTGTGGGGTGGTACAGGGTATTTAAGAGTTGAGCCTGCTCGACTTTAGCATTCCTTTCTTGTTTTGAACTGGAAATTCGTGCACAAGTCGCTATAAAGCATCACCTCACTATAAATTGAACATTCTTTGCTGAAAAGCTATCATAGTCTATGTAAATCAGGAACTGGATGGGTGTTGAATCTGAAATTGTTGCTGGCTATATGTACGAGTATTTGGTTGGAGTGGCCCTGCCAAAATAAATGACGTGACGCATGTCTGGCCTGAAACAATTTGCCAACGTTGACAACATTGTGGCGGCCACTTTGATGTCAATGTCTTTTCAATATGGTCCATTGAAGTAGCTGCTGTTTATGATGACGTTACAGAAGGCCCTTCTCGTTACCGTCGCCATTTACCGTTTGAGCGACAGGAACACGAAACTGTAATGGAATTCAATAAAAGCTGAGAGTGCAGAAAGTGTTTGACAACAACAACTGCCTCTTCCGCCTCTGCTACTACGCTCCTGCGTTGCACCAAAAACTCATCAGCCTCAGTGCGGCCGCTTGTCAGCCTCATTTGTTAATTTCGTGCAGTATCGTAGTATCATTGGGTTCCGAGTCCAGGTCCATGGAGCCATGGAGCCATGAAGCGTTGGAGCCACAATGAAGAGCGCACACACTTAACAGCGGCGATATTTTTATTGCGCCGTTGTCTGCCAGCGCCAACAAAAACAAACAATCCATCCCAACCCCAACACCAACCCACAACATCCCTTGGGCTAACCCCATCCAACGAACACGTCGTCCAACGCCTTTATTGCATTTACTTTCTGTCGCGTAGTGTGCCCGCCCAGCGGCCAATGTGGCAATCGCTTGATGGCCAGCCCGGATGTCGTTTTCAATAAAGGCGTCGCAGGCGTTAAGCTCACACAAAACACACAAACACATGCCCACACACACACACACACACACACACAGCCACACACTCACACACTTACACCCACACCCACACCCACACACAGAGCCAAAGCCACAGTGCGTTGAAACACATACAAACCTGTGTCATGTGTCGGTTTGTGTGTGTGTGTGTGTGTGTGTGTGCTACTTTAATTAATTTCTTTAAGTTCATTAACATCTGACTTGTTTAAGGAAGCGAGGTGGTGACGCCATCCAGCATTGTCGCACAGCGACAAGGAGAAAGGGGGTGGGGGGGGGGGGGGAGAGGGCCTGCAAGACAGGAAGTCAGTAGCACCATTTTGATGACATTGTCAGCGGTGAATTGCTGATGCAGCACCACTTAAAGGTTCGCCAGCACATCGCAGTTGAAAATAATGTAATGAGTACTGCCAAGATGGCAAAAAGGATCCACATAAAAGCCAACTTTACATCTTATATCCTTTGCATACCCATTCCAAACTTCTTCAATGCAATTCATCTCTCATAACGCTCATCTCCGCTGCCAGCAATCTAAGCCTACTGCACGATTAATTTAAGAAAATAAATTCTCCAAAATCTAGAATTTCAAATGTATTCATGTCGTTTTTGAAGAAAAACAAGCCCCATTTCGTACAATTAGAAAAACCATTTACTGCCCTTTGGCTCTTCAATACTTATAACGAAACAATTGCATGCCCAGTCCTTAACAAACTTTGCAATCTTTACAACTTTAATCAACTTTACTTTAATATTCTCCTCCTCTATTCTTTTTTCTATGGTTTCCAATTATCTACTGTTTCTGCATCACTTTTGTACAACTAATTGATATTCGTACAAATTTTCCAATTGTAAAAACGATATGGAAGTTATAGTCAAGTAGTGGTCTTACGGCTAAGCATCATTGTTTTTTTCTGGTTCTACAAAATTTAAACTATCATCATCAAATGCTAAATAAAACTATGTTTACAAGCCCTAAGGCATTAAAAACCAGGAATTCTTTTTACCGCAATATCCACTCAGAGCTACATACGATTGCATTAAAACCAAGGACTGTAATCATTAAAAGTTTTATTATAGAAATTACAAAATAATGATTATTTTATAATTTTATTTTTCTTTTATCAAAAACAAAAGTTGTAATTTTGCCTTTTTCAAAGGTAACAAGGACAAAATTTATATATATCCTTGAACAATGAGTCAAGACGAACTCCTATAGTACAGTTTTGGACTAAGAAATAATGAATAAACAAATCTTTTCATTTAACAAACATTAATTACCGCTGTAATTGCAAATATCTAAATACAAACATATCTACTACACCATAATTGAACAATTTTAATGTTTATTTATTCTCTTACAATGAAATGATTAATTTATTTAAGCAAATATTTAAATAATGATAAATATTGATTAAAAATGAAAATTTAATTTGAATCAATTAATCATTTTGTTGTAAGAGAACGAATAAACATTTAAATTGTTCAATTATGGTGAATATACATATTCAATCCTTGAAGAAGGATTTTGGTATAATTAAGTTTTCTCAAAGCTACTAAATATAAGTTAGTAATTTTTTCCGCTTTAAAAAAAAAACACAATAATCATTATTTGCGTTCCCTGATTAAAGATAACCTAAATAAAGAGAAAATATTTCGTTTTAAAGGATATTAGAATGCAACAATTGAAGACAATCGTCTTAAGTCTCAAAGGGTGGGGGGAGATGTTAAGCGGGTGCGTTGTTTAGAGCACAATCCTATATCGTATACCCAATAGCAACAACAAAGCGCCTAGGTGGTCAGGGTTCGTCTCTGCCACAATTCCACACTGAGCCAGATTTCAAAACGGTCGTAAAGTCAAGGCAAACAGAAGTAGTTTAAACGGAAATTCCACCGACATATTCTACATATACGCATACTCGCATGTGACGTACGTATGTAGATAGTGTTTGTGTGTGTGTGTGTGTGTGATTGTCTGTTTATTTAAGTGAGGTAGATATGTGTGTGTATGTGTGTGTGTGTGCTTACCTTTCCCATCCAATTCATTTCGCCCACTCTGCCACTATCATAGCGATGCCATTGCCATTGCCAAAGTCGTTGCCGACGCCGCCGCCGTCGTCGTCGTCGTCGTTGTCGCCGTCTTGCTGCATTGTTTTGTTGTTGTTGTTTTTTTTTCTGTTAAATGTTTTTTGTAAAATTTTACTTCAATGCCTGGCGCATGGTTCAGTTTTTGGGCAGCTCATGAATATTCATAGACATGAACGCGCAAAGGCCGGGACGACTATCTGGGCACACACAGCATGGCCGTGGGGCACGTGCCCGAGCCGAGAACACATTATGCCACCATATTTTGCGTTTACAAATTTTTCACGCCCCGGACTTAGAGGCTGCGGGGCTTGGTGGGGCATTACGGAGTATTAAAAGAGTTGCTCGAGACGCGAACGGGCGAGTTTACTTGTTGGATCGAAACTGTTTATTGGCCAGGGTAGTAACAAATGTCGCTGGAGTGGAAGTGGGTTGGGAGGTTGAATGGAATCTGTTTGGGGTGTGTTCGAAAGGCGGATGAAATGGAAAACATGCCGGCATAAGCAGAAGCAGGTTCACTCTTAGATCTTGGGTGTGGAGCAGGGAATTGGTATTGGCGGTGTCGGTGCCGGTGGTGGCGGAGGTGGAGGTGGCCTTGGGGTTACTGGGGCTGATGTTGTCTCGGACTCTTGACTTTCGGCTGGACTATTCGGCGGGTCGGATTGTGTGAGCGTTGGCTCCGTCTTTTCTGGTGCCACATTCTTCTCCTTAGAGATCGCGTAGCGTTTGGTCCAGTAGCGAGCCATCTTGTCGTGCTCCTTGCGATTGCATTTGTACTGATCGGCAATGCCAATGACGAGTGGATCGTCCGGATTGCATTCACCCATCAGCACCCATATGGAGAGCAGAACTTTGGAAATGGTCATCACCGGGGACCAACGCTCGTTCAACACGTCCAGGCAGATGGCACCGCGACTATCCACGTTGCAGTGATAGATGCGTGTGAGGAAGCGTATGCGTGGCGGTCGGAAGGGATAGGCGGGCGGAAAGCGTATCTCCAATTTGAAATGTCCGCCCTCGTAGACACTGCCTTCGGGTCCGGACACCGTTGCCAGCCAGCTATGAAGATCATCGCTGTGGGTGACACCGACGATATTCGGTGGAGGCTGTTTGGTAACCTCGCTCAGCTCCCGTTTTATACGAGCCAGTGTGCCGGTAAGGTGTTGCGCCAGCTTAGTTTCGGGGCCATCAACGCCCGTATTTGCAGTCGATCGCAGGGGCAGCGGTCGAGCGCTGAAGGAACGATGCAGGAAATGGCTGGTTGTGGGCGCGTTCGGATCGACATCGATGTTATCGATGCTGTCATCATCGACGTCGTCATCAGCATCGTCGGGATGATGTCGTTGGGTCGTTGTAGGCACTTCACTTTGCACCTTGCGCAGGGGAATGTTTACAATTGCAGACTCCACTGCCCTGATCTTGGGCCTATTTACAACGTCTTTGGCAAGCGGTATGGCCGACGACGAGGGTGGCTCATTAGCCGCCTTTGCTTCGCTTTTTGGGTTCTGCTTACCCGACATGATTCCGTTTTTTTTTTTTTTTTTATGTTTTCAGTTGTATGGGTGTGTTTAGAATTTGGAAATATGTGTGTCTGTTGGAAAATTGTTCGATGAACTGTTATTTGACACTTGACGCCATTGTAACGAAATTCGAAATCATCTTCAGCTTTTTGTTTTAAAAGGTTGAAGGTGCTTGAAGGTTACCAAAGGGGACCAAAGTTGATGCATTAGGCTGATTTCCTATCTTAAAATGTAAGGTTTCAAATGCCCCATACCGTGAGGAAATAGTTGGTACTCCTTCCAAAATAATCGAGTTAAGAAGATAAGCTACCGGCAACTGTGGCATACTTTTTCTTCAATATATTTAACACAATCGAGGATGCTTCCTTTTAAAGCAGGCACTGTGGTATATCTCACATTATGTTAATTAACTTTTCTATTTCCCTCTGCCTGGATAATAAATTCCCCTAAAATTGATATTAATTTTCCTAGAACTGTGAAGACTTATCTCAAAACTGCTGTAGAGCAGACTGTTATGGAGGGTGCTGACCGCGTTCCTTAAGAGAGAATCTAGCTTATTGATAATCTGGTAGCTAGATAGCGCCCCTCGGCTCAGCAGAGTCAGATAACATGTCTGAAGATTCGTCTGCCATAATATTTCGTTCAGTAGTAAGAAGGAGCTCAAGAACACGGTTCATAAAGATGGAGCATCTAATTCGCACTTTGCAGTCAAGTTCTAGCTTTGAGATTGTCCAGCTTTTAGAGCTAGAAGTGCTTAACCGGAATAACTCAGTATCCGCGCGAGCTTCTCCAAAATCTCAGCGCGGTGTGGAGGGGTAATACGGATAATAAAATCTGACTTAATATCAATCTACAAGTGCTTGTAGTCAGCTAAAAAGTGCACTGGTCAGAGATATTTAAATATGCCATAAGGGCTCACAAGAGGCTCTCAATGTGCCCGTTTTCTGAGCACACCTTGAGGGCCCACACTTTCCCAGCAGAGAAATGTTATGCACCCATTTGTCGGAACAGTCTTATCGAGCACTTCATAATGTGTCAGTCTCATGACTCATGACTTAGTGTACAAGTCGTTGTCAAAAAACAAAAGGAATATTAAGCTATGTGGGGACAGTACGGAATATTGTTAGTTATGGGTAGAAATGGCAAACAGCTGGATGAAGCAGCAACAATGGGAGCAATAACCGTTTGGTGCTGCTCGGACATGCCGCTTAGAGTGGAAATGATGAGCCAACATCTAAGGAAAGCGACACTCAATTTGCAAAATGAAATAAATTGAATGAAAAGTGTGAAAATGAAGAGGAGTCATCATCAGCAACAACAGTAACAGTAACAGCAACAGCAACAGCAACAAAAGCAACAAGAATGATAGCAACAGTGACAGCAAAAGAGCAACCGAACACAAAAAATGTAAATGAAAATTCAAGGAAATTTAATAATAAAAACATCAGCATAAAGTAAAACGCATAAAATCCAATGATGTAAAAGGCAGGCAACGGTCGGTCCAAGGTAATGGTGAGGGGGGAATGGGGAGTGGGGAGGCGTGAGTTGGATGGCATGTCCGGGGGGAGGGGGAAGAAACATTCTGGTAACATGGGCTATGACCTGGACAGGCGGCAATGCGCGTGTGTTGTTGGCTACAACGTCAACAAAATAGCGTTGGAAATCACATTGCGTTGCTTCGCAGTCACCAGCAGCCGTAGCAGTAGCAGTAGCAGCAGCAGCAGCAGGCAGTCGAGAGCCAACAGCCAGAAGACAGCAGCTAGTGTCCTGCACAGGAAGGATATGCTCAATTGAACATGTTGATTGCTGGCAGCAGCACAGACAGCGATGGCAACGACTACGACTACGGCAACTGCGACAGCGCCCCGAAATGAGGAGTCAATTGAAAATCAAGTTAGAGCTTGCTTTAATGGAATTAGTTGTACCATGGAGCGGCAATCTCCAACAAGCGAGCGGGCCCAGCTGTACCCGTCCCCGTACGAATGCAAAAGATGCCAAGACGCTCGCATGAGCTCTGAGCACTTGACAAAGTGTGTTGTCCGTCCATCTCGCCTTGTGTCCGGACTGCCACATAGGTTGCCAATAGAGTAAACGCTTTGCCGCACACACCAACGCACACACACCCTTATGTGTGTGCCCCATTGTGTCGGTCCAGGGACTCGGGACACACCTATACAAACATTTAAATAGAACTCAATTGAGGCAAAGCAGCGATGAAAAGCGTGTAAATGAAATTAGAGAGATGTTCTGCACACCACCTGCACACCACGCACAAATACACAAACACCCATCCACCCACACACACACTCACACACACACACACACACACATGTTGGTAATAAAAAGAGTGCTGCAGGTCAACACAACGAATTTTCCTTGCTCTTCATTCGAGTTGGCTATAAACACATATCTATATTATGTCCATTTGTTGGCTGTTATCTAACTGAGCCTTAAATCATCCAGAGAGATAAGAAATCTAGTTTCTTGCACCTTTTCTTTCTTTTAAACATTTCTAATATAATGTAATATTAGAGAAAGATTTCTAACGAATTAATTTTCGAAACATAATTTTAATTGAAAACATTAAAATTGCTACTAAAAATAATAGATAGCGTAGTATTTCGACATTTTGTCTTCTTTCACCCTTATCTTCAAACCCCTAAAAAAAAAACATATATATATATCATATGAATCATATAGCTCTTATAAAACAAAACCAAACCTCTTATCTCTCAAAATTATATTATTTATGAACATTTAAGCTTAGAGAGTCGTATGCATGTAATTGTACTACAACTTTCGTACTTTTCTTTACTCTTTCGTTTATTTTATGTAATAAACAGTGCAGTTTTTCTAAAGATTACCAACATTATTACTAGTCCTGTATCTGAAAACCGAAAGGTAAAACGCCAAATGTACGTAGCAGGCAGATTCCATGTCATACTACATATGGACTTACTATATAGTATATATTCAGGCTGACATATGCACACGTCCGTCCGTCTGTCCGTATGAACACCTAGAACTTTCGAAACACAACATTACTGGTACTAGAATTACTTTTTTGTTTTATATTCATGAGTTTTGCATAATGTCCCGGCCTAATCTGAAGCTTCATAAATAGTTCACTATATCATATAGCTAGAGACGATCGCTGTAATAACGAATCTCAACTATAACGATTATTTTTGTATCGTTACCAAAATTGGTATTTGTAAGTATTTATAGTGCATCACTATAATCTAAGGTTTAATTTAAATCGGTGCAATAGCTCAGTTCAAAAAGCAATTAATAAAAAATTACTAACTTGTTATATAATCTTAAATAAGTTAGGTTCTAAATAGGATTTTAATCTTGGCTCTTTGGTGGAATTCTTGGAAGTATTTTTCAATATTATGCGAGTTTTTAAAAGTGATTTTTGTTGAGGTTTTTTATGTTTTGCAAACATTGTTTTTCCCTGATGTTTTGAAAGTAGAGGAAGTACGTAGGCAACGGTGTAGAGAATTCGTTATGCTATGGCTGGTGTGTCGGTTAAGGGCATCAACAATGATTGAATGAGTGTGAGCTTGAATGGTTGAGCGAATTAGTGCATGAATGAATGGGTGAGTGGGAAAGGGAGAAGCAAAGTGGAGGGCACTATCAAGTGGAGTAGAGTGAAGTTGCTGCTGCCGGTTCTGGTTCTGGCTCTCGCTCTGGCTCTGGCTCGGGTTCTGCTGCTTTTATCGTCTCTGTCAACGTTTTGGAGAGGGCGATGTTACGACACATAGCTGGGTAGGGGGAGTGTTTCGAGGGGTGGCTTGTGTTGTGCAACTGCCTTTGTAGCTTAATTGAATTTAAGTGCGTCGCACAATATGCAATATTGCAAAATGCATCACACACACACACCTACTCACATAAATACATACATACATACAGACATACATATATATATGTATATATATATATATATGTTCTGTGCGCCGCAATGCGCATTTGACTTTGTCGCTCGATTTGTCGTTGTGAGAACTACGACAACCACTACTACATATATATAGTACTAGTACTGGTAGTTACTAGTCACAAGCCACTCACCGCCCACTCATAACACAATTCAAGTAAAGCTAACTAAAAGGGCCATTAAAATGCGCGTCCATTCCAACATCAAAGGCTGTTACCCATGAGAAATTGTTTTATTAATTGTCGCCAGCAATTTGCACTTTGCGATTCATACTCGTAGTTATGTGAATGCATGCAAATAGCTTGTAGTGGCATTCATTCGCTCCCTTTGACTCACAAATTGTCCGCTGTGAAGAGCAAGTGAATCAGTACAGCGCATGCCAATGAATTCTAGGACTACAAAAAAGGCACTCATTTTTGTGCAACTGACAAAAAAGTTAAGAAAAAGTGAACTCCTTTTTAAATAATGAATAGCTTCATTTAAAATAAATATGTTTGTGAATAAGCAGAGTATTACTCTTTGAATAGGCAAGACGATTGCGAAAAAACGAATACAAAATTAAATGAGTTGTTGAACAAGTCAATAGTTGGCATTTGAATATAATTGTAACATGAAAATAATTCGCAAATGAACTATAAATCGGTTTGTAAGTCAGTTTGCGAATAAATTCACAAATAAATTTGTGATTGGAAAAAGAAATACCATATATTAGTAAACAAGTAAAGTATTAGTCTTTGAATGAGTTAGCGAATGAGTTGTAGTGTGAGTTAGTGAGTGTTTGACTTAGTTGGTTAGCTTGAATGATTAGTGGTAGGAGAATTAAGTATAGCATGCTAATTTCTGAATAATTGCATGCCCCAGTAATGTTGCGAGTTGACTTAATGAGTGCATTTGTTTGCTTAAATAAGTATGTAGTACAGGGCCTATCCATCAATATATGTTAGTGAAAATGATATTAAATGAAAATGAGAAGCATAAGCAACAAAAATATAAGGGATAAAGAGCAGATTTTAGAATTAAAAAGTATATGAATCCTAGAGCCCGTTTAGAAGGCAGCAAATGAATGAATTCATGCACAAGCTAATGCATTCATAATTTCATTTAAAAAGTATAAAGGT